AGTCCACTTGCAGGTACCAGTCTAGGTCCCCTTGCAGTACAGTCTAGTCCCCTTGTGTACAGTCTAGTCTCCCTTGCAGTACAGTCTAGTCCCCTTGCTGTACAGTCTAGTCCCCTTGCAGTACAGTCCACCCTTGCAGGTACAGTCTAGTCCCCTTGCAGTACAGTCTAGTCCCCTTGCAGTACGTCTAGTCCCCTTGCAGTAAAGCAGTCCCCTGATGTACAGGTTAGTCCCCTTGATGTACAGTCTAGTCCCCATTGCTGTACCAGTCTAGTCCCCTTGCTGTCCAGTCTAGTCCCCCTTAGAGTACAGTTAGTCCCCTTGCAGTACAGTCTAGTCCCCTTGCCAGTACAGTCTAGTCACCCGTGCAGTACGTTCTAGTCCCCTTGCAGTAGTCTAGTACCCCTGCAGAAAGTCTAGTCCCCTGCAGTACAGTCTAGTCCCCTTGCAGTACAGTCTAGTCCCCTTGCAGTACAGTCTAGTCCCCTTGCAGTACAGTCTAGTCCCCTTGCATGTACAGTCTAGTCCCCTTGCAGTACAGTCTAGTCCCCTTGCTGTACAGTCTAGTCCCCTTGCAGTAGAGTCTAGTCCCCTTGCAGTACAGTCTAGTCCCCTTGCAGTACAGTCTAGTCTCCCTGCAGTACAGTCTAGTCTCCTTGCAGTACAGTCTAGTCTCCTTGCAGTACAGTCTAGTCCCCTTGCAGTACAGTCTAGTCTCCTTGCAGTACAGTCTAGTCCCCTTGCAGTACAGTCTAGTCCCCTTGCAGTACAGTCTAGTCCCTTGCAGTACAGTCTAGTCCCCTTGCAGTACAGTCTAGTCCCCTTGCAGTTCAGTCTAGTCCCCTTGCAGTACAGTCTAGTCCCCTTGCTGTACAGTCTAGTCCCCTTGCAGTACAGTCTAGTCCCCTTGCAGTACAGTCTATTCCCCTTGCAGTACAGTCCCCTTGCAGTACAGTCTAGTCCCCTTGCAGTACAGTCTAGTCCCCTTGCAGTTCAGTCTAGTCCCTTGCAGTACAGGCTTGTCACCTTGCAGTACAGTCTAAAGTTCCCGAAGGTTGTTCAGCTGTGCTATAGAAGGTCAAGTAAGTGGAGAAGGGGGCATTTGACAAGCCAAATAGCATTATATCGAAGTTGTACAGTCCTTTATGAAGAGAATAGTGACACCAAGGAAATCTATTACAATAAGGAACACCAGGACAAGATACTTTTGACATTTTATTTGTCAATGTATATATATATATATATATATATATATATATATATATATATATACATTGTATGTTGGTAATGTAATTAACTTACATTTCTGCCATATATGTCTTAAAAAGCCATGTCAACATATTTATCAAGATATAGACATAGTCTGTAAAAGGCAGATTTTCTTAATAGTGTGTCATCTCAGAAATAATACAGTATATTACACAAAACAGGTGGTTAAATAAACACTGAAATATTACATTTCTACAAAAAGGTAACCATAAATAACATTATCACATTATATGCAGATACTTTACTTACATCAGTACATGTCCTCATCACTAGCTTCATGTAGCTTTTATAGATAATTCATTATCATACAAACTGATTTTAATCAACTGTGAAGTGTCGACTTTGAGAGGGGTGTCAGAGCGGTATCTTAGACGTAATGGCCCAATTTTTGAGGAAGTTAAACCCAAAGACTGCTACCGAAGCTTGTACATGTATTTGGTGTAGGGTAGTGGAGGCTTACACAAATGGGTCCCTTTAGAAAATATAAGACCATTTATTTTCACCTCAATGAGCAGTGAGAAGATAAGAGTGAACTAAAGTAATGTGTACTGGCATCGTTTCAGGAAGTCCTTCTAATGATTGTCCCCTGATGACATATTACAACTTGAAAGCTATTTGATACTTTCCAAGATGGAGACGTTTAGATCACAGTTTTGTCTGTCTGTCTGTCTGTCTGTCTGTCTGTCTGTCTGTCTGTCTGTCTGTCTGTCTGTCTGTCTCTGTAGGAGGAAGACTATGGTTTGTAACAAGTGACGAAGTAAAATGGAAACGTTTTCTCTGGAACACTTTGATGATGTCAGAGATGTTGACCTGTATCCTGGTGGGTTAGGGTCAGATATGTTGACCTGTATCCTGGTGGGTTAGGGTCAGATATGTTGACCTGTACCCTGGAGCATTAGGGTTAGGGTCAGATATGTTGACCTGTATCCTGGTGGGTCAGGGTCAGATATGTTGACCTGTATCCTGGTGGGTTAGGGTCAGATATGTTGACCTGTATCCTGGTGGGTTAAGGTCAGATATGTTGACCTGTACCCTGGAGCATTAGGGTTAGGGTCAGATATGTTGACCTGTATCCTGGTGGGTTAGTGTTAGGGTCAGATCTGTTGACCTGTATCCTGGTGGGTTAGGGTCAGATATGTTGACCCCAATCCTGGTGGGTTAGGGTCAGATATGTTGACCTGTTTCCTGGTTGGTTAGGGTCAGATCTGTTGACCTGTATCCTGGTGGGTTAGGGTCAGATCTGTTGACCTGTATCCTGGTGGGTTAGGGTCAGATATGTTGACCTGTATCCTGGTGGGTTAGGGTCAGATCTGTTGACCTGTATCCTGGTGGGTTAGGGTCAGATATGTTGACCTGTATCCTGGAGCATTAGGGTTAGGGTCAGATCTGTTGACCTGTATCCTGGTGGGTCAGGGTCAGATATGTTGACCTGTTTCCTGGTGGGTTAGGGTCAGATCTGATGACCTGTATCCTGGAGCATTAGTGTTAGGGTCAGATATGTTGACCTGTATCCTGGTGGGTTAGGGTCAGATATGTTGACCTGTATCCTGGTGGGTCAGGGTCAGATATGTTGACCTGTATCCTGGTGGGTTAGGGTCAGATATGTTGACCTGTACCCTGGAGCATTAGGGTTAGGGTCAGATATGTTGACCTGTATCCTGGTGGGTTAGGGTCAGATATGTTGACCTGTATCCTGGTGGGTCAGGGTCAGATATGTTGACCTGTATCCTGGTGGGTTAGGGTCAGATATGTTGGTCTGTATCCTGGTGGGTTAGGGTTAGGGTTAGATATGTTGGTCTGTATCCTGGTGGGTAACCAATGACAGATGGGAGTTTCCTGACACAGAACACCGCTACTGGGCCAGTATTCAGAAACAGTGCTGATCCAGGATCCGTTTTTTTGCTTTCAGACCATAATGAACAAGAGGGGTAACCTGATCCCAGATCAGCCTGAGATGCGTTGTGTCAATGGCTCCCTAAACATGGAGTTGATGTTTGTTCATTTACAGACGGATGTGCTGTTACTGCTAGTCATTGTAGTGAAAAAATTGCTTTCAGAATGCGCTGATTCATGATCATGTATAATTAACAATGGAGTTTGAAATAGGCAATAAATGTTTTGGAGGGAACACTTCGGTCGTATGGTTGTATGTATTACACTATGCACTACGCATGGTGCTTAACATTGGTGTATGACAAAAAAAAACGTTTTAGAGTTGGGAAAAAAAATAACTCAAGCCGTAGCTCCTGTATGTGATGTTGTTGCAATGAGTGGGATTGGATTGGATGATGCATCTCCCAATCCAATAGGCTTTTCATTTAACTACTGTAGTCTAAAAGGTTCCAATCAGCATTATATCATTTGAATCACCCAGTATTGGCCCTGGTTCAACAGCAGGCTGCCAATAAGCCAGGGTGGATGTATTTACCTTCTGCAAGGCCTGCAGTGACTGGCCTCTGTGTTCCCCCAACCCCAGCCTTGCCAGACTCATTTTTCAAATTAGGATTTTTCCAACTGACACTACATATTTTGCCATTAAAATGTCCCTAGAACATTCAACTCCCAAATGGCGCCCAAAATTAAATGTTTAGAGGGAATGAGGGTGGATTTTAATGTCTGAAACTAGCTTTAAAAACAAAACCTTTTAGATCATTCACGAGGTGGAAGAGGAATTAAAGATTGGAGATTTATATCAAATCATTCAAATGAACATTTCCATTTCATTATTTCTCTTCCAGACACCTAGCTGACATACAGCAGTTATTATAGGATCACATGAAGCTTTATATTCAAATGCCCTTGACAGATTTATTTTTGTGTCAACACAGGCATGGATTTTATAATCGACTGCATTCACGGCTGATCATTGAAAAGAGTGAAGCCGGAGGTTTTCATTTCAGAAATCGTTTTCCACGCTTTTCATTTTCACCAAACTGTTGCTTAGAAACTAGCTACGAGCGTAATTCATTATTGGACATGATTTACTGCAGAGCAGATTCAAAACAATTCTATATATATATATATATATATATATATATATATATATATATATATATATATATATATATATATATATCTACAACATATTGCCAATGAGATGCTCCTACTGCCCAGGAAGAGGATAATATAAGGGTGCATGAAACCAGGAGCAATAATGACAGTTTAACACCATCTAACCCTAATAATGCATCTGATATTATTAATAATGCATTCATATCAGACGTGTACTAAATAAGTGAGTCTGTATCTTTCATCTCAGGTTTCTATTAGTGTACTAAAATACATCAATATAACTCTAATTTACACATGTCATTTTGATGATTCTATAGTTTCCCCACATATATATATATATAGTCAAATAACAGGTCTCAGAACTGTAGAGGAGAAATAGATGTTACTTTTCATCTCAGAAGAAACCAGTTTAGTCTGTTCTTTGTAGTTGTTTCAGAATCATCATATACTGCAATATACAGTATACTGGGGGGAGGGCATATTACAGAATTACTATATTTACTCAAAAAAAAAAAAATAATCCTTTAGAAAACTCTTACTTTAGAAAATAAGCAAAGTAGATGGGAGGTTTTTTCCAGAGAATTTGACTTTGCAAAGTGTAATACTTTATAAATTACTTGATTGGTTGATTCAGGATCGAATCACAGCAGAGATACCAAAGTTGTGTAATCCAGAGTTCAAAGACTGAAATCTCCTGAAGTAGCTTGGGGCTGGTCCCTTTAGCGCGGGCCATTCCCCTGGTTTCTGCGGGCCATTCCCCTGGTTTCTGCGGGCCATTCCCCTGGTTTCTGCGGGCCATTCCCCTGGTTTCTGCGGGCCATTCCCCTGGTTTCTGCGGGCCATTCCCCTGGTTTCTGCTCCAACCGCAGTTGGAACTAACCCGGGTTCATCTCATCAACCAGCTAATTATTAGAATCAGGTGTGCTAGATTAGGGTTGGAGCGAAAACGGCAGCTCTCGGGGAAGAGGGTTGGAGAGCCCTGCCATAGACTGTTCTCTCTGCTACCGCACGGCAAGTGGTACCGATGCACCAAGTCTGGAACCAACAGGACCCTGAACAGCTTCTACCCCCAAGCCATAAGACTGCCAAACAAAACTGCTAAATAGCTCATCAAATCTGATCTGACATGTTATCTCTGATCTGACATGTTATCTCTGATCTGACCTGTTTATCAACCCCTGTTATCTCTGATCTGACATGTTATCTCTGATCTGACATGTTATCTCTGATCTGACCTGTTATCTCTGATCTGACCTGTTATCTCTGATCTGACCTGTTTATCAACCCCTGTTATCTCTGATCTGACATGTTATCTCTGATCTGACCTGTTATCTCTGATCTGACCTGTTATCTCTGATCTGACCTGTTATCTCTGATCTGACCTGTTATCTCTGATCTGACCTGTTATCTCTGATCTGACATGTTATCGCTGATCTGACCTGTTATCTCTGATCTGACCTGTTATCTCTGATCTGACCTGTTATCTCTGATCTGACATGTTATCTCTGATCTGACCTGTTATCTCTGATCTGACATGTTATCTCTGATCTGACCTGTTATCTCTGATCTGACCTGTTATCTCTGATCTGACCTGTTTATCAACCCCTGTTATCTCTGATCTGACCTGTTACAGGCTTATGGATCCCTGTTATCTCTGGTGTTACTGTAGCCCTGTACTGGAGTGCAAATGCTTTTTACACGGTTAAAAACTGCTCGCACTGTTTGTTATAAAAACAGGTGAAAACAAAATGTTATACTATTAACGTCTTCTGTACTGGCCCTCTTAAGGGGAGAAGACACCTATATATATATATATATATATATATATATATATATATATATATATATATATATATATTTGAACAGAGATGAAAGTGGTGCAGCTGTGTGATTGGAACTTTCCTGAGTTTATGAAAGTCAAAAACTTTAAAAGAGAAAATGTAAAACGCAAATAAATGACAGTATGTCTTTCTTGAAATAGCATGACTGCTCTGACAGCCGTGGACAGTGTGTAGAGTCTCTGGTCATCATTCCCATGATGCTTCCTTCCGCGCTACGCTGCTTCCCTGGAACGGGAACGTCAGGAGCAACGGATGGTAACCATGGTGATGCTCTACGCGGCCGAGAAGTTCGATCTGATAGAATCTTCTCGTAACTGACGATGCTTCCCGATGTCACATTCCTCCCTCGCCGTGCGCCTCTGAATGGTTATCCTGTAGTTCTTCCTGTTAGGAACCAAACAAGACAAAAAGACTTTGAGAAGGGTTTGAATTGTCTGTCTTCTCCTTTAGACCAGGTCAGTAATTGTGCACAGATTCTTGTTTACAGTGAAATGGCAGAGGGGCCTCCTATAGTCTGGGGCTTACGCTTTTCCTACTAGATCAGCCCTGTAGTAGGAAACCACTAGATCAGCCCTGTAGTCGGAAACCAACATCCACTCTTACTAGATCAGCCCTGTAGTAGGAAACCACTAGATCAGCCCTGTATTAGGAAACCACTAGATCAGCCCTGTAGTAGGAAACCACTAGATCAGCCCTGTAGTCGGAAACCACTAGATCAGCCCTGTATTAGGAAACCACTAGATCAGCCCTGTATTAGGAAACCACTAGATCAGCCCTGTAGTCGGAAACCACTAGATCAGTCCTGTAGTAGGAAACCACTAGATCAGCCCTGTAGTCGGAAACCACTAGATCAGCCCTGTATTAGGAAACCACTAGATCAGCCCTGTATTAGGAAACCACTAGATCAGCCCTGTATTAGGAAACCACTAGATCAGCCCTGTATTAGGAAACCACTAGATCAGCCCTGTATTAGGAAACCACTAGATCAGCCCTGTATTAGGAAACCACTAGATCAGCCCTGTAGTCGGAAACCACTAGATCAGCCCTGTAGTCGGAAACCACTAGATCAGCCCTGTAGTCGGAAACCACTAGATCAGCCCTGTAGTCGGAAACCACTAGATCAGCCCTGTAGTAGGAAACCACTAGATCAGCCCTGTAGTCGGAAACCAACATCCACTCTTACTAGATCAGCCCTGTAGTAGGAAACCACTAGATCAGCCCTGTAGTCGGAAACCAACATCCACTCTTACTAGATCAGCCCTGTAGTCGGAAACCACTAGATCAGCCCTGTAGTCGGAAACCACTAGATCAGCCCTGTAGTCGGAAACCACTAGATCAGCCCTGTAGTAGGAAACCACTAGATCAGCCCTGTAGTCGGAAACCAACATCCACTCTTACTAGATCAGCCCTGTATTAGGAAACCACTAGATCAGCCCTGTATTAGGAAACCACTAGATCAGCCCTGTAGTCGGAAACCACTAGATCAGCCCTGTAGTCGGAAACCACTAGATCAGCCCTGTAGTCGGAAACCACTAGATCAGCCCTGTAGTCGGAAACCACTAGATCAGCCCTGTATTAGGAAACCACTAGATCAGCCCTGTATTAGGAAACCACTAGATCAGCCCTGTAGTCGGAAACCACTAGATCAGCCCTGTAGTCGGAAACCACTAGATCAGCCCTGTAGTCGGAAACCAACATCCACTCCCACTAGATCAGCCCTGTAGTCGGAAACCACTAGATCAGCCCTGCAGCAGGAAACCAACATCCACTCCTACCAACTGAGCCACACAGACAGTACTGAACATTATCTGTATTTTTTCAGCAAAGTGCTGTTTTACCTGATGAAGTAGAAGGCCATGAGCAGTGCTGTCCCCAGCAGGGCTCCCACTATGATCCCAGTAACAGCAGATACTCCTAGTCCACCTGCTTGGAGAGGCAGAGGGAGGCTATTAGTAAGGGCTAACTGCACCTCTGCTATACACCTGTGTTACAACAGTATATCAACCAATGTGTTAAATATTTATGTTAATAGATTTTAGGTCTGTATCAAAATCAGACGCTATATATCCATTGTTTAGATGAATGGAATGTTCGTGTCCTGTATATTTGACTGTGATATGTGGTTGTCTCACCTAGCTATCTTAAGATGAATGCGCTAACTGTAAGTCTAGATACGAGCATCTGCTAAATGATTAATGTAAAATGTAAATGTTTTACATACAGATCTCATATTACTGTATAGATTAATTTTTTTCATTCTTTAAATATTGATGTCACAAATGTATCATTTGTACTGTCCCTTATTAAAAATGTAGTTATTTGGTACGTTTGACTGTGTTTGACTGTGTACCTAGCAGTACTACTTATTTCTCTGAGAGTGAGGTGGATATATAGCAGTTTGCAAGAAAAACATGATTATTTGTCTCTCTGAAATGAAAGATTTCAAACAAATACATGTCTGTCGTTGAACAACCCTATGCCATGACTAGAGAGTAAAAAAACAAAACAATTTATTTGAAAACTTTCAAACAATAAAAGCAAATTTACCAACATTTCTGAAAATTGATATATAGCTTTTTGGAAATGAATTCTTCATATATTCTTTCAAAATATGATATGAATACATTTATTTTAATGATGGTACCTGTCAATGATTTTAGAGGTCGGTATAATGATGATTTAAATCTGATCACAATGTGTATTTTAATCGTCTACACCCGTCTAATAATGTGGGCACGACCAGAAGACAAGATCAGAACAAAGGGTGCATTTAAGGGGCAGGTATAAACAGGAGCGACAAAGATGGAGAAGAGGAGCAGTAGAGATCAGGTCTGTGTTTGTTGGTGTGTGTTTGTTGGTGGAGACAGATAGAACAGACAATATTAGAGATCATTAGAGATAATTTACATGATTTGTCTGGCAGGTCTGTGTGGGAGGCTCTATGTAGTCCTCTCAGGGTGAAATGGTCAGGATTGAACCCCGGAAGCATCTGGAAACTCTCCTTCACACCGTGATAGTTACACACCGTCTGGGAACAAACAGCTGTCAATCTCAAATAGGACCCACAGATTGAGAAGTTGTGCTAAAAAAAAAGGTCAACTAGGAGGAGAAGGGGGATTTTTGACAAGCCAAATAGCATTCTACGGAAGTTGTACAGTCCTTTATGAACATAATTTATAAGGGGCCATTTGAAAAGCCGACTGGCATTCTATATGACTTATACAGTCCCATTGAGAAAGATTTTTGCCATCGAAAAAAAGCCATCTGATCACTAGTGATGCTAGAGGTTACAGGATTAGGTTGGATGTTATCTGATGGCTTTCTTCTTACATCATAGGTGTAGAGTACGAGTGCTGACACAGGGTCAGTTTGCTTTTTAGATTATAATGAATAAGATCACACAGACGGGGGGGGGGGGGGGGGGGGGGGGACCCGATCCTAGTTCATATCACTCCTACTCTGAGATGCTTTATCAATAAGGACCCTGATAAAGGAGGGTTGGTGTTAGGGTCCTGTTCTTACCTCATAGGTGCCTGCCTTGGTGTTGGTCATGCTCATCACAGAGAAGTCTCCGTATCTGTCTCCGTTGAAGTCCATAGACACCTGGCCTGCGATGCCTAGCCCCAGCAACCAGAGGACCAGCGGCATGCAAAGAATGGCAGAAATAATTAGCTACAAGAGCCCAACATTCCAAGGAAAACAGAGAGCGGAGAGCAGAGTAGAGGAATTCCGTCCCCCGGCCAATATAACAGGAAATCCCATCTCTCCTCCCACCGCTTGTGTTGGCAGGCCATCCACGAATTGTAATTTCATCCCCACGGCTGTGTTCCCAAATTGTTGGCATTTTTTAACATTTTCTTTATTTTAACAAGAAAATATGACCCTGTTCTTGCTGAACAAAACATTGTTACTTCACGTTGAGAGCTGGCAATGTGTTGGCTTGGATTTTTAACCAGTTTGGCGAGGGGACATCCGTTCTGTAACTGGACTCTAATCATTGCAGATGAAAGGTTTTGCACTCTGACTCATCCCACTCCTATTAGACTTTAACTGAGTTATCTGGAGGAGATATTGTGGAACTGGATTGGTCTGTCGCCATTCTGTCTGTTGGATGTAAGCCTACATACTGCTGTAAGCCTACATACTGCTGTAAGCCTACATACTGCTGTAAGCCTACACACTGCTGTAAGCCTACATACTGCTGTAAGCCTACATACTGCTGTAAGCCTACACACTGCTGTAAGCCTACATACTGCTGTAAGCCTACATACTGCTGTAAGCCTACCCCACTGCTGTAAGCCTACATACTACTGTAAGCCTACATACTGCTGTAAGCCTACCCCACTGCTGTAAGCCTACATACTGCTGTAAGCCTACATACTGCTGTAAGCCTACATACTGCTGTAAGCCTACATACTGCTGTAAGCCTACACACTGCTGTAAGCCTACATACTGCTGTAAGCCTACATACTGCTGTAAGCCTACCCCACTGCTGTAAGCCTACATACTACTGTAAGCCTACATACTGCTGTAAGCCTACCCCACTGCTGTAAGCCTACATACTGCTGTAAGCCTACATACTGCTGTAAGCCTACATACTGCTGTAAGCCTACATACTGCTGTAAGCCTACCCCACTGCTGTAAGCCTACCCCACTGCTGTAAGCCTACATACTGTTGTAAGCCTACATACTGCTGTAAGCCTACATACTGCTGTAAGCCTACCCCACTGCTGTAAGCCTACATACTGCTGTAAGCCTGATATCTCCAGGAGTGATAAGTATACTTTTTTTTGTGTCTTTATCTGTTGTGGTCTAGTCCCGTCTTGTTGCTAGCTAGGGCCGTCTACTTTAAGTGCTGCCTGTCTTCCCAGTGGCCTACTTGGTGTGTGAACCGCTGACTGCTTCCCAGTGGCCTACTTGGTGTGTGAACCGCTGACTGCTTCCCAGTGGCCTACTTGGTGTGTGAACCGCTGACTGCTCATCACCTTGCAGATAGTTGTTGACACATCAACCAGGATCAAAGGGGGCGGGGCAATTTATGACTTGTTTTGGTAATCAGTGGCTGTAATGGAGGGGGAGTGGTTTCAGCAATTAGTACAGGGACGTGTGCTCTCCACCACTGCTAGGTGGAATTAGCAATTAGCAATTAGCAATTAGTGTTAGTTCTTCAGTTTCCATGGTTTCTCAGCGGCAGCTGTAAGCGGCGGTCGTGTCAGTGGCACAAAACCCAGACCGTAGTCAAAACAAAGACGGTCCTGGCGAGTTGTTCGACAAAGGAAAGAGAGGAAGGCTCTCTGACTTGAGTATCTTACCTAGTTATTTACAGATGATCTCATTTTGATGTTTTGTAGCTTTGTATGTGTTTTCTATACCTGTTGTCTCCTCTCCCCTTGGCTACGACCCTTCTAATTTAGTGTACCCAGCGCGTACAACCCCATGTGGAATTCCTGGTCTCTGGCAGCGTTTGGAACTGCCGATCTGTGGTCTGCCTTCGATTCATTTCTTTCCGAACTCTCACTTTCCCATCCTTGCAACTTTTGACCTCACCTTTTCCCGGTCCCCCTCCAGCTCACAAGGCAATACGCTTGACCTCATCTTTACTAGAGGCTGTTCACCTACTAATTTCACTGCAACCCCCCTCCATGTCTCTGATCACTACTTCGTTTCTTTTTCTCTCGATCTCTCCTCCAACCCTAACCACTCAGCTCCTACCCAGATGGTCATGCGCCGTCACAATCTTCACTTGCTCTCACCTTCTACTCTCTCCTCTTCTATCCTATCATCTCTCCCTTCTGCTAAATCCTTCTCCCTCCTGTCTCTTGATTCTGCCTCTTCGACCCTCCTATCCTCCCTTTCCACATCCTATGACTCGCACTGTCCCCTTTCCCCCCGGCCGACTCGGCCCTCCCCTCCTGCTCCGTGGCTGAGTGACTCATTGCAGGCAGCTGAGCGGAAATGGAGTTAAACTAAACTTCTGGGGGACCTATCATCGTTTCACTCCCTCCTCTCTACCTTCTCTTCCTCTGTATTCGCTGCTAAAGCCACTTTCTACCACTCTAAATGTCAAGCTTCTGCCTCTAAACCTAGGAAACTCTTTTCCAACTTATCCTCCCTCCTTAATCCCCCCCCCCCCCCCCCCCCCTCTCTGCGGATGACTTTGTCAACCACTTTGGAAAAAAGGTTGACGACATCCACTCCTCATTCACTCATCCTATTGAGTCCACTGGTCTCACTCACACAGAACTACCCTACGCCTTGACCTCTTTCTCCCCTCTCTCGCCAGATGACATCCTGTGACTAGTGAGGTCTGGCCGCCCGACAACCTGCCCGCTCGACCCCATCACCTCTTCCCTTCTACAGACCATCTCTGTAGACCTTCTCCCATTCCTCACTTCCCTCATCAACTCATCCCTGACCACTGGCTGCGTCCCCTCTGACGTAAAAATGGCCGAGTTGCTCCCCTCCTCAATAAACCAACACTCGACTAATCTGACGTCAAAAACTATAGACCTGTATCCCTTCTTTATTTTCTTTCCAAAACACTTGAGCGTGCTGTCTGTGATCAACTTTCTCGCTATCTCTCTCAGAATGATCTTCTTGACCCTAACCATTCAGGCTTCAAGACAGATCACTCAACCGAGACTGCTCTTCTCTGTGTCACAGAGGCTGTCCGCACTGCCAAAGCTGACTCTCTCTCCTCTGTTCTCATCCTGCAAAGAACCTTGGCGTGACCCTGGACAACACCCTGTCGTTCTCTGCAAACATCAAAGCAGTGACTCGCTCCTGCAGGTTCATGCTCTACAACATCCGTAGAGTACGACCCTACCTCACACAGGAAGCAGCGCAGGTCCTAATCCAGGCACTTGTCATCTCCCGGCTGGATTACTGCAACTCGCTGTTGGCTGGGCTCCTCGCTTGTGCCATCAAACCCCTGCAACTTATCCAAAACGCTGCAGCCCGCCTGGTTTTCAACATTTCCCAAGTTCTCTCATGTCACCCCGCTCCTCCGCACACTCCACTGGCTTCCAGTCGAAGCTCACATCCACTACAAGACCATGGTGCTTGCCTACAGAGCAGCAAGAGGAACTGCCCCTCCCTAACCTTCAGGCTACGCTCAAACCCTACACCCCAACCCGAGCACTCCGTTCTGCCACCTCTGGTCTCTTGGCCCTCCCACCCATAAGCTCTTCTCTGTCCTGGCACCCCAATGGTGGAACCAGCATCCCCCTGAAGCTAGGACAGCAGAGTCCCTGCCCATCTTCCCGAAAGCACCTGAAACCCTACCTCTTCCAATAGTATCTTAAATAATCCCCCCCATTAAAAAGCACTTGCACTTGGCCTTTCTGGTTAACAGCTGTTGGAGGTCTGGCTCTATGGCTTTGTGGGGTGTAGATGGTGACCTGTTGGTCTGGCACTTGGCCTTTCTGGTTAACAGCTCAGGACAAAGCTACACTGCACTGCACTGCGCTAGCTGTGCTGAACGCCATAGCCTTTTGTAATTGATAGTGATATCAATAATGCTATCAATTTCCTTCTACAGCCATTAAAAAGGAGTGGAGAATGCCAGCAGCTCAACTCGGTTGACAACATTGGCCTAATTAAGGGTGATGAATGGTCCAGCTGGGAGCCAGAACAACTCAAGGAGACGTTCAGACAGAATCTATGCTGAGCTCCAGTCTTAGATCTAAGCTTCAGATCATGCTCCAACAGTCTTACAGTCTTTGTAAAACGATCCACACCTCAGTAGAAATGTCCTCAGAGGACATACATATGATGAAACAGCGAGAGGAGAGAGAGTGGAGGATATAGTAAGGGATGTCATTATTTTGGAACTTTTGTAATTGTTACTGTTATTTTTTGTATTGTTTATTTCACTTTTGTTTATTATCTATTTCACTTGATTTGGCAATGTAAACATTCCTATGCCAATAAAGCCCTAAAATTGAATTGAAATTGAAACTGAATTGAGAGATCGAGAGGGAAAGAGATAAGGAAGATGTTTAATAATGACCAGAGGGTTTAATAATGACCAGAGGGTTTAGTTTTTTACCTTGAAATGTTCTGTTCCACATGCGGTAGGTGATCTCTGCTCCGTCCTTCTTGGTGAGGCCGTTCCTGATGGCTTCGTGCAGCGCCAGAGCGTACAGCAGCAATGCATCATGGAATCCCTCCATGAACATGTTGATCTGGAAGAAAACAACAGGAAAACAGGGATTCATCACCTGATCTCCTCCTGGCATACTGTATCACAGGCCCTCTTGCAGTTAGTCGTTGGGATGTCTGGCCTTGAAAACCTTTAAAATGGTGAACGAGGACAAAAAATTATCTTAGACGCTTCCCTCTTTGCTCAGCCTGTGAAGGCCACTGACAACAACAAAAAAATGTGACAATTTCTATCTTCATATGACACTCCACTGGTGCGCCTTCGAAAAGAACAATGCATTTGCAGAAAATACCTCATCCCTACTGTAAAACATGGTGGTGGATCTTTGACGTTATGGGGCTATTTTGCTTCCACTGGTCCTGGGGCCTTGTTAAGGTCAACGGCATCATGAACTTTACATTTACATTTTAGCCAAAAACCTTGGTTGCCTCTGCCAGCAAGACAATAACCCCAAGCACAAATCAAAATCCACAAAGAAATGGTTAATTGACCACAATATCAACATTTTGCAATGGCCCTCAGTCTCTGGACTAAAACCTGTGATTTAAATTGAAGAGGGCAGTCCATAAGCGCTGATGAAGGATACCAAGGATCTGGAAAGGATTCTGTATGGAATAAGATCTACAATCTACAATCTCATAAAACATTCTAGAAAAAGGCTCAGTGTCGTTATCCTCGCAAGGGGAGAGTGCTGGAGTATTGATAACATGGGATCCAGTGATTTTGACCCCTATCTTTTAAGATTTAAGTTCTCTGTAGCTCAGCTGGTAGAGCACGGCGCTTGTAACGCCAAGGTAGTGGGTTCGATCCCCGGGACCACCCATACACAAAAATGCATGCACGCATGACTGTAAGTCGCTTTGGATAAAAGCGTCTGCTAAATGGCATATTAATTTAATTATTAAAGATGTTTATTTTTATTGACCAAAATAAAACACTTCATGACCAAAAGTACGTGGACACCTGCTCGTCGAACATCTCATTCCAAAATCATGGGCATTAATATGGAGTTGGTCCCCCCCCCTTTGCTGCTATAACAGCCTCCACTCTTCTGGGAAGGCTTTCCACTAGATGTTGGAACATTGCTGCGGGGACTTGCTTCCATTCAGCCACAAGAGCATTAGTGAGGTCAGGCACTGATGTTGGGCGATTAGGCCAGGCTCGCAGTCGGCGTTCCAATTCATCCCAAAGGTGTTCGATGGGGTTGAGGTCAGGGCTCTGTGCAGGCCAGTCAAGTTCTTCCACATCGATCTCGACAAACCATTTCTGTATGGACCTCGCTTTGTGCACGGGGGCATTGTCATGCTGAAACAGGAAAGGGCCTTCCCCAAACTGTTGCCACAAAGTTGGAAGCACAGAATCGTCTAGAATGTCATTGTATGCTGTAGCGTTAAGATTTCCCTTCACTGGAACTAAGGGGGCCTAGCCCGAACCATGAAAAACAGCATCAGACCATTATTCCTCCTCAACCAAACTTTACAGTTGCCACTATGCATTGGGGCAGGTAGCGTTCTCCTGGCATCCGCCAAACTCAGATTCGTCCGTCGGACTGCCAGATGGTGAAGCGGGATTCGCGAGCTTTACATCACTCCTGCCGACTCTTGGCATTGCGCATGGTGATCTTAGGCTTGTGTGGGGCTGTACAGAAGCTCCCAATGAACAGTTCTTGTGCTGAGTGTTGAGTGTAGTGAGTGTTGCAACCGAGGACAGACAGTTTCGGTTCAGCACTCAGCGGTCCCGTTCTCTGTGCTTGTGTGGCCTGCAACTCCGCAGACGTTTTCACTTCACAGTAACAGTTGACCGGGGGCAGCTCTAGCAGGGCAGGAATTTGACGAACTGACCTGTTGGAAAGGTGGCATCCCTATGACGGTGCCACATTGAAAGTCACTGAGCCCTTCAGTACAGGCCATTCTACTGCCAGTGTTTGTCTATGGAGATTGCATGGCCGTGTGCTCGATTTTATACACGTCAGCAACAGGTGTGGCTGAAATAGCCGAATCCACTAATTTGAAGGTGTGTCCACATACTATTATCTATGCATAGTCACTTTACCCCTACCTACATGTACAAATTACCTCGACTAACCTGTACCCCCGCACATTGACTCGGTACCGGTACCCCCTGTATATAGCCTCGTTATTGTTATTTTATTGTGTTATTTTTTTGTGTTAAAAAAATAAATAAATCTTAACTCTATTTCTTGAACTGCATTGTTGGTTAAGGGCTTGAAAGTAAGCATTTCTCTGTAAGGTCTACAACTGTTGTATTCGGCGCATGTGACAAATAAAATTTGATTTGATTTGATTTGATTTTGGGAGCTTCTCCCATTCTTCTCTGCAGATCCTCTCAAGCTCTGTCAGGTTGGATGGGGAGCGTCGCTGCACAGCTATTTTCAGGTCTCTCCAGAGCTGTGTGAATGGAATATGAATGACAGTCATCCAATATGCTGTAATAGAAATAAGGCCATGTTCCTAAATAATTATATCGTCCTCCCTCATCTTAAACGGCACCGACCGCCACTGAAACCTAGGCTCATATATTTTGCTTCAGAATGGATCACGTCAGCATTTTGTTTCTGCAAGAAATATTCTATAATAATCTTAGCTCTATACTTGGGTATTTTTTGGGGAAATGTGCAATTCCTTTATTGAAACGATTTGACCATATATTTGGAAGGAGGAAAGTACGTTTAAGGCTTGTGTTGTCAGCATTGAGAAAGAAAAGCGGTCTCTGAGATATGAAAGCCCTCTGTACGTAGTACCAGCCTCGGTATCAGCCTCCCCCCCCCCCCAAAAATTTTTTTTTTTCTCTCCTTCCTCCCCCGCCAGGGCTGCAGCTCGAGTTCCAAAAAATAAATAATATATTGTTTAAAAAAAGCTGGTTGTTAACTATATCAGCCAGTTCCCTGCCGCTGTGGGGCTGATGATAGGCTGCTGAAGGTGACATCATCTTGGCTGGTACTGAGTTCCCCCTGAGCAGCAGTCCTCTGCAGCGCACAGATTACTTCCTGTTTAGATTGGGCAGTGGATAGATAGATTAGAGAAGACATGGAATGGAACAATGATCCCAATCAGAACATTATCAACCAATTAGTGTTAGTCTTAACATTATTCCACAGTGCTCAGGGCACCACAGGCAGCACGCAGGTGATTGGCTAGTCGGCCGAGCAATGGAGATCATTGTGGAGAACGTTCCTACCGAGAAGAGTTCAGTTCAGTGATGGTTGATTGTTAAGTTTTTTTTGGAATGAGGAAAGCGACGACAGGTAAGAGTAAATAGGTGTTGTAATTGTGCAGCCCATCCGGCCAATGGAAATCAGTCAGACTGAGAAAACGTTCGGACCAAGATGCGTTCAGTTAGTGGTTGATGATCATTTGTTTCTTGTGAGGAAGCTAAGACACCTATTGTGGCTACAGTAAATAAGTGTTGTTTTGTTTAGAGACTGAGTGGAACCCTGATCACTGCTATGGAAAACTGATTGTTACAGTGCCTTCGGAAAGTATTCAGACCCCTTGACCTTTTACACATTTTGTTACGTTACAGCCTTATTCTAAAATGGATTTTTACACACAATACCCCATAATGACAAAGTGAAAACAGGTTTTTTGAAATGTTTGCAAATGTATTAAAAACAAAAAACAGAAATACCTTATTTACATAAGTATTCAGACCCTTTGCTATGAGACTCGAAATTGAGCTCAGGTGCATCCTGTTTCCATTGATCATCCTTGAGATGTTTCTACAACTTGATTGGAGTCCACCTGTGGTGAATTCAATTGATTGGACATGATTTGGAAAGGCACACACCTGTCTATATAAGGTCCCACAGTTGACAGTACATGTCAGAGCAAAAAACCAAACCATGAGGTCGAAGGAATTGTCCGTAGAGCTCCGAGACAGGATTGGGTCGAGGCACAGATCTGGACCACATGGAGCGGTGCTTGTTGATGTGCCCCATTAGAACAGGTCTTCTACAGGATATCAGGATTACTCAATGACTCACTGTGTCTAAGTGGAAGGGAAAACATTTCAAGATTTCTGTTGGTTTCATGGTTTCCTGTGAAAATAAATATGGGCCAAATTGTTTGTTTAGCAAGAGACTGAGTGTGGACCGACTCATTATTTACAGTATCTGGTAGTTTAGGCTGTAAATTGCCGGTGAACAGATGATTTTCTGTGTGGTATTATGATTGTTATGGTAAACAGATAGAGGTTTGTTTACACCAGGACAAAACAGGGTCAAGTGGTCCCATATACATCTGGGATCTGGAATTATTGGACCCCTTGATAAAGATTAGCAGAAATGACTGTATAAAATACACTCAGAGGTCCTCTAGAACCTTCCAGAAGGTCTGACAGAAGCTCCAGAGAACCTTCCAGAAGGACAACCATCTCTGCAGCACAGGTTTTTAGAAATGTTAGCAAATTTATAAAACAAAACAAAACAGAAATACCTTATTTACATAAGTATTCAGACCTTTTAGCTATGAGACTCGAGGCACAGATCTGGGGAAGGGTACCAAAACATTTCTGCAGCATTGAAGATCCCCAAGAACACAGTGGCCTCCATCATTCTTAAATTGAAGAAGTTTGGAACAACCAAGACTCTACCTAGAGCTGGCCGCCCGGGAAAACTAAGCAATCTGGGGAGAAGGGTCTTGGTCAGGGAGGTGACCAAGAACCCGATGGTCACTCTGACAGAGCTCCAGAGTTCCTCTGTGGAGATGGGAAAACCTTCCAGAAGGACAACCATCTCTGCAGCACTCCACCAATCAGGCCTTTATGGTAGAGTGGCCAGACGGAAGCCAAACCTCAGTAAAAGGCACATGACAGCCCGCTTGGAGTTTGCCAAAAGGCACCTGAAGGACTCTCAGACCATGAGAAACCAGATTCTCTGGTCTGATGAAACCAAGATTGAATTATTTGGCCTGAATGCCAAGCGTCACGTCTGAAAGAAACCAGGCACCGCTCATCACCTGGCCAATACCATTCCTACGGTGAAGCATGGTGGTGGCAGCATCA